TTTCTAAATAAATATTTGGTAAAGTAGTAGCATCAATCTATACAATTGAATTTCAGAAGAGAGGATTACCACATGCCCATGTTTTATTGACCTTAAGTGATGAAGACAAAATTTTTGGAGCTTCTGATATAGACAGGGCTATGTGTGCGGAAATACCCGACAGAAATTTGCATCCACAATTGTATGACTTTGTTACAACTCATATGATGCATGGGCCAGTCAACGGGTATCCCTTATACAAAAGAAGTGTTAATGGAGTTAGTGTTAATGTCAGAAACAGCGATTTAGATAATCGTTATGTAGTTCCGTATAATCCCTATCTGCTTGCTAAATTTAATTGTCACATCATGTATGTACTACTGTAAAAAGTGTCAAGTACATATCGATGGCTGAGTGGAAGATCGACCTATCTCGGCAGCCAGTTCGAAAACGCTCTATCTCAAAAAACTTTTCCAGAACGCCCTATTTCAGAATTTAATTGAAAAACACCCTATCTCAAAATTCGGTTCAAAAACGCCCTATCTCACTTCAAAATGTATTGAAAATATGCTGATATAGGGCGTTTTTGAATCGGCAGCTGAGATAGGGCGTTTTTGAAACGAATTCTGAAATAGGGCGTTCTTTAAAAGTTTTTTTGAGATAGTGCGTTTTCGAACTGGCTGCCGAGATAGGTCGATCTTCCACTCAGCCATCGATATATAAATACGTATACAAAGGGTACGATTGTGCAACAATTGAAGTTGGTGAAGATGGCGATTCTGAAGCTCACATAGATGAAGTTAAGAATTTTTTGAATTGCAGATACGTTGGTTCCAGTGAAGATATGTGGCGCATTTATGAGCTGCCAATGCATTATCAGTCACACACAAACGTCCGGCTGAACATTCATTCGGCTGGTAGAAATATGGTTTATTTTAATGTTGGGGAAAATCAAGAAGAAATGCTACCGAATATAAGTCAAGCTGTAGCTTATGTGGGGCGAACAAAATTATTAGCTTTTTTCTTATTGAATCAAGAAGATATGGCACATGAGTTTAAATATACAGAAATACCATTGCATTCTACGTGGATTGATAAAGAAAAAAAGAGGCGAAAATGGTTACGAGGTGGAAACAAAATTATTGCTCGAATGTTTTCAGTTTCGCCAAAAGATAATGAGTTGTTACATTTGAGGTTTTTCGTACACCTTAAAACTCATAATGGTGTTGTTTATGACTGATTTTTAGAGGCGTGTCTTGCCCGCGGTATTGCATCCAATGAAAATGAATGGCACGAGTGTTTGAATGAAGCCAAAAGATTTCAAAGTCCAAAACAGTTGCGCAATATGCTTGGTTTTATTTATGCATTAAATCTTTCACCAAATGCACCACAATTGTGGCAGGAATTCAAAAACTCTTTAACTGAAGAGTTCTTAATTAGTTATGACGCAGAAATTGCATACAATAGAGGTTTATTAGAAATTGAAGAAATCTTGATAACTCATAATATTAGTTGTGGATATGTTGGTTTACCGACTCCGAATGCAATTTCAGATAATTCTGTTGATCATTTTGATTTTAGGTATGAAGAAGAAAGATTTAATCAATTTTTGCTTGAAAGCAAATCAAGAGCAAAAATATGTCATTGATCAAGTTATTCAGGAAGTATTACAATATAACACTGGATGTAATGTGTTTTGCTTGACAGCTGGTTGCGGTAAAACAGTTACACAGAGTGCAATTATTCATAAATTGCAATCGATTAATCTTCGGTGCATTGCAACTGCGTTTAGTGGGATAGCCTCAACGTTGCTGATTGGAGGGAAAACACTACACAATATTTTTAAATTACCTATCCCAATTTTAGACACTTCAGTTGCCAATATTTCTGCTGGAAGTAGTTATGCAAATTATATAAAAACAGCATCATTAATTATCATAGAAAAAGTATCCATGTGTCCTTTAGGAGCTTTGAAGGTTATTGATAGTTTATTGAGAGACTTAGCAGACGTTGATGATAAAACATAGCTGTTTGGCAATAAAACTATTCTTATGTGTGGAGATTTTCGGCAAATATTGCCCGTAATTGAACATGGAAATCGCAGTTTTAATAGAGAATTGCGTCACGAGTTGGGTTCAATTCTAATTCATTCGTAAGTTTACACTTACACGAAATATGAGGCCACTCCCAGAAGAGATTGAATTTATCGAATTTCTTAAGAAAATCGGCTATGATGAAGAAACAGTGTTTCGTAATTTTGGTGATGATATGATATAAATACCACAAACCATCATTGGAAATGCAGAAGATATTATATCCGATATTTACGAAAATGTTTCTGAAAATATTCTTTCTGATGCTATACTCAATTCTGTTATATTATCCACTAAAAATTAACACTGTGCAGAAATAAACAATAAAATTATAAATCTCATCGATGGTGAACAAAGAACTTACCCCAGCTGTGATAAAATTATTTCCGATGATGAAAATGAAAGAAAAAATTATCCGTTGGTGGATTTCCGCCACATAAATTAACTTTAAAAGCAAATGTAATTGTTTTATTGATTAGAAATTTATCAACGAACGATGGTTTAGTTAACGGCATGCGAATGCGTGTTAAAAATCTTCACAATAATACAATAGATTGCGAAGTATTGAACGGGATTGCGCAAAACAAACGAATTTTAATACCACGTATACATTTGAACTTTTCTGGTAAAATGTTTCCATTTCAATTTCAAGGAACCCAATTTCCAATTATCCCTGCGTTTGCAACGACAATAAATAAATCCCAGGGACAGACGTTTCATAGGGTTGGGATATTGTTGAAGGAACCTCTTTTCGCACACGGACAACTAAATGTTGCTACAAGGCGAGTTCGAAGTTTTTCAGGCTTACGATTTTATATTGTAAATACCGAATTTCATGGTAATATGACTAACGATGAAAGAGTTTTTACCAAAAAAATTTTATATCGAGAAGTATTAACTACGTAAAATATAAGTTTTTAGATTTAAGTTTAGTTTAGATTTATAATTAAACCAAACTTCACCAATACATAATTCAACAATCAACCTTCAAACTGGAAACGCCGTACGTGACGTGACGACGTACAGACTATGTGATGAACCATATAGATTGATGTATGTAATATTAATATTTGTTGACAATATTGTGATTTTCGGATTAAGAGTTTTGTATTTACTTTGCTGTGAAAAAAAATAAAAAGTGAATAAACTTTTAATTTTGTTATTGGCTATTTCAAATAATATTATTTGGTAATATTGTTCCATTGAAATTGATTGGTCGAATTTTCGACCACTGGCGATACTTGTCTATATAACTACATAAAATTATAGCCGTTTTCGTTATTCTGCGCGATAAGAAAAATAAATAAAAGCTTGTAAAATTAGGGTAAGTATAGAGCCACTGCAGGTAAACATAATATTTTCTTTGATAATGGATAATGGTTTCAAATTTTTAAGGCAGATATCGCTAATGTGCAGGTATGTTGAATGCATCTGAATGCCGCTGATGCGCATTTTGGGGTAGGTATCTTAAATGTGCATTTAAGCATAAAGGCAGCAAAGCAAAATATACTGTATTACTTTAATCACCCAGCCTAACATTTTGACAGGATACTTTCAAGGCACTTTACAGGCAGAAGAAGAACATTTATCACTTGTAAGTATGCACAATGGCCGAAACTCTAATGAGATACTTATATAATTTGAAATATGATGCAAAGACAAAGATATGATTTTTTTTTCAAATACGATAAGATTTGATATTTTTTTTTTTTGAAGTACTCAAATTTAAAATTTTTGCAGGACAATTATTTCTTCAGAAAATTGGATTATTTCATTCATTAAAAACTTTGACAACTTGTGATCTAAAAAAGCGTTCCTATGTTATAGCTGATTTCAAAATTCAGGGATAAGGGAGGTGCCACGGCTCTCAAAATGACCAGATATGTTACTAAGGTATCGGCGTAAAATTTAAACGTGATGTGGCCAATGGGGTTCTTAACTTATACTTGATTTAAAATTTCAATTATGAACCACTAAAGGTCAAGGGCCGCATATTTCGCGTATAATTAAACTAAGCTATATAGAACTTGATATAAAATGACGCAAAAACCATTACGATCATAAGCTTATTCTAGGTTATCTGTTAAGCGGAAAGATTAATAGCCCTCAAAGCCCAGTAAAATTTTAAATTTACGTCCTCCTGCCTAAAGAAATTTGTTGTTTTCTGTCACTTACAAGCTTGTTTTAGAATTATTACACATCCAAAATTACATGACTGAATAAAGTCTTATCTGTTGCTTGAATATTTGAACCAGTTAAAATTTAGTCTTCATAATTCAATTTCTCATTTTTGATAATGTTTTTTCTTTTGGCCACTTTTGACTGAATCTGTGTGCTGTGTTGCAATGCTGACAATCGCAACTCTAAATGGAAAAGCGGTGGGGCCTAAATGTACGCAACATGAAAAAGTAACAGATGGAATGTATAATAAGCCAAATGGAAGTATGAGGGGCATGTATGTAATATAGATATAGCATATTGTTAGGCGCGCTTGCCATTCTTTTGGAGATTTTTGTATCACAATTAGCGATAGGGAATTGTTGGAATCCGGTAAAAGAATGTGTAGGTTGAATGCAAACAAATATTGCTGTTTTGAAGGAATCTGTTAAGTTTCGTAATAAAGTTTTTTATTCTTAAACTGGAAAGCAAAATGTCCGATAATAAGTCAGCATTAAAAGCCCTCGACTCTCTGTAAACTAGATTTGGTCATGCGGGCAACTGCAAAACTCTTTTGACCTAATTAAGCTCACAAAGGAACCAGCCTTCACCATTAAGAGTAATGATTCTCAGGTTGCCACCTAATGACTAATGATGACAAAGACAAGAATGCCTTTGAGGCACTGAAAAGCACACAGGGAATTTTCTAGTTAAAAATAGTTTCAAAACAAGATTAACAGAGAACTGTAACAATTAACCAAGTCTACTTACCATTGTCATCATAGATGATACGAAAAGAATCTGAATGCAAATGACCGAAAAACTGGCCCTGTATTATTGACGAGTACTTGCGCACCAATTCCAAGTAGCGTTTGTTGTTAGTTTCGGTGAAAGTGGTGTGCCCATTCTGTTGCAAGCCGATGTGGCGCTCGTCTGAACCGGGTGGTATATGTCCCACAATGTAGACCTGTAATGAAAAGGAAACAATTTATATTTTTTGGACAATTTCATATGTAAGGTAATGGACATGTTAAAGGAAAATTTTAAGCGTAACTACAAATTTCCGACTATAAAAAATGGCATACTTATTTTCAACAAATATGCTCACGAAGTAGAACAAGATTTATTACAAATTAGATTTATTATAGACTATCGGTACCACAAATTTTCAGTTTACCATAAATTAAAGGATACTATTTGTTTAATCTAAATCCTTATGACTAAGCTAAGAGGAAGTCAAATAGGAGATCTGTGGGAATTAATGAGACTTCTGTCTGTAAAACATTTTCTCCTTTGCCGCATCCAGAAATATTTGTTGCTTCAATTATATTGGTATTCATTTTGTTCAGTACCAGTCTTGTTCAATTGCAGAGTTAAGATTAGGGAGCGGACTACTGATGGCTAAAATTAATTAAAAAAGTTTAAATCCCCACCAAATATGTATCAATGTTATGTGAATTATGGTTGCAAAATTATAGTTCTTTGAATGAAATACACACGTCTATTGGTATGGCATGCCCCCTTGTAAATACTCATTCCCTTTTAGTTCACAATAATTTAGTGATGTCTTCACACCAAATATCAGTGTCATACGACTTATGCTGAATTTCTACTAGGCATGGAAATGATAAAAAAAATGTGTGCCATTTAAAAAATGTCCTGTCGAAATGAACTTATAATAATAATAGATTGGCGCGTACACATTTGTTAGTGTTTGGCCGAGCTTCTACTCCGATTTGTGGAGTGCGCCTATAGTTTTAAGCCGACTCCGAACGACGATTGTATTTTTATGAGAAGCTGTCTTTCATGGCAGAAATACACTCGCAGGTTTGCCATTGCTAAGCTGACCAACCGTCCTCCTTTGAGGAGGATTGTCCTCCTTATTGTTATTACTGTAAACGAATAATTCTTGTATATATATATTAGGGTGATCCAAAATAACTAACCTGGCGAATTTATGGCCTTAAAGTGACCTATTTACTGAGGAGGAAATTCTCCCATTTGAAAACATTTTTATTTCAATTTTAAAAGTTGTCGGTCGGCATTTGAAATTTTCTATGTAAATAACATGTAAAAAAATTTGTTTTCATTAAAAATGTTATAACTTTTCTACCGTTAAGAAAAGTTATAAAAAAGGGATAAAGGTTTTTCTCGGCATATTCTTGTAGAGCATTAAATTCTCTAAAAAATTACCCTGAACTTGGCTATCTTAGAGACGATTTAATGTATTAAATATGTTGCTGAACGAGGTATAGCGTTGATACAAAATTCGAATCGAACTTTGGCGAAAGACGAAGAACGAAAGCAATTTCTTTTGCAAGGAACACAATTACAATTAAATAATCTAAAAAGTAATTTTTAAGCAAAAACACAACCGACTTCAATTCTCATATAAAAATTAGGAGTACCGTTATTTTTTTCATGATCCAATGATCGGATCTAAACCAAATTAGTATGGGACCACATGTGAGACACGCAACATGCAACGCAGTGTACTATTAACTTCTTTGACTTATGTTTAGAGAAACTTTGATTTGTTAATTTTTTTGTTATATATGTGTTAAAATAAATATGAAAAATGTTTTGTTTTCAATGTGGAGAATTTGTCCTCCTGGAATGTTAAAAAATTCTGGTCACCTTAGCCATTGCCCGCTGTGGGACAACCGCTGCTAAGAAAAAACCTTTTTTCTATATTTTTTTTTGCGATGTTGCTTTGACCAAGGCTTGAACCCAGGCTATAACTATACCACAAGGGCCGCCAATGACTATTATTTGAACCATAATTTTTTAATGCCCAACTTTGCCGTTACATTTCTGCCATTTAATTTCTTGTGGAAATCTAGCATTAAAAAATCATGAATATCGGAAATAACACGCCGCAATTTGTATATCCTATGGTGGAGCCAGGTGTCATGGAAATACTACTGTGCCAAAACTACTTTTGATCTTACTCAGCCGTTTAGGCTACAACTAGGAACTTACATACTTGCATACTCCCGCAACATAGGAGGATTCTACGTGTAATCCTAAGCAAATTTGCCGAAGAAATCATGGATCTAAAATAAATTTGTAGTTTGCTATTGCGCCCTCTAGTGGAAGTCTTAAGAAAAAGTTAGGTGCAGAAATGGTTTCCTCATACCAAAAAATCCCTCATGGCATGTTTTTATGCAAAATGTATGCACTTCTTTCACCATTCACCCCTTTTTATTTAAATGATTTACTAAACATCTGCGTTTTCTTAATTTTTTTCCCTGTTAAAATTTGATTTTTTGTTCATAAAAATGAGAATATCTTGGAAAAATTACTAGGGCTGCAATTTGAGTTTCTGCATTTTTTTGTCGTTTTTTTGCGTCATTTCAAAACTTGCGATTTTCCCTACAGTGTTATTGGAGAGTAATATGTACTTGTATGTTACCGCTCGAATAAGTTCAGTTTTAGGAAATTAGTTTTTTTTGTAATATAGTAAAAATTGCTGCAACTAAATGTTTTTTATATGGTTATTTAAATATTATTTCAGAGAATTATGCATGAAGCAAATATGTAGATATAAATATGAAAATATTATATGCATATGTAATTAGATATACATACAATAAAAGCAAAGATATCAAGTGATAACTAAACTTCCGGAAATATTGTATATCTAAATGCATGTACACAAATATTTATTTAACTAGTGTAGTATTTATCAGACTATTTATGCCAGTTTATACATAAACTATTTGTCTAACAAAGTACAAAATTGGCAGCGAATGCAAACAAGTTTTACGTTTCATTGAATTAAATGCTGCAGATAGTTTTTGTAATTCCTGCTTCTATATTACGGTAATTAATATTCTTTTTGCATAAACTCAAACTAAAATTAATTTAAATAGAACGCAAACCTACAACCCCTGTTTAGCTAATTTTCAACAATACCCTCTCACAAGTTCATCGGCATATGCAGCCGTTTGCATATACCTACGCGTGTACATAAATATATATATGTACATATACTACTTGCATTTACAATGTTTATGTATATACTTGCACATAAATATTTCTGTAAATATTCGCTTATAGTGTACACTACATATTAGATTGCTTATCAAGATAAACTTTTACAAGCTAAACTTATCTTCCACTTGAATGGGCTCAAATTCAGCATTTAAGTAACTTTTGTAAACTTAGTTGAAGTGAAGTCAAATCAACACAAATACAAACATTCACAACGTTGTATTTTCGAATAAGATTAAAGGCAAACAAATAAGGTATTGTGCAAATAAAACAACGCCCACATTCAAATACATAAATTTACTCAAAATACATACATACAAAAATAATGTACTGCTGTTCAAGGAAGAGTCTCGCAAAAGTCCTTAACTTTCGAAAACTATTATCTACATAGACACATGCGTACGAAAATTATAGGCTTTATTGAATATTGAAGCAAAGACATGAGAATTTGACAAATTAGCCTATTCTTATAAACTTTAATTTCTCAAGAACAAATTAGAGAGGATGTTCAGGGTTAACAGCAATTATTTAAGTATGTACATATATATCTAATGGTTTTTTTATTGCACAGAAAATCCAAATATTTTCTACATTTCAAAATCATTCAAAAGAACAATAATTTCGCAATAATTTGCAGATGCTATATATGTTCGCAGCGATCAACTACACGGAAATTTTAATTTTCGTAAAAAAAGTTTTATTCGTAAACATCTCTCCTTATTGTGCCTTATCAGCAGGGAACGGATTTTATGGAAATTGCCTTTTTTATGCTAAAGAGATAGTGTATATTTGATTAAGAATTGATTAAGAATTTCCACGATTTAGCTTTCCCTGATTCCATATATACACATTTGATGTTGCCTTTTTTAAGATATTTGCCTTTTTTACAATATTTGCTTTTTTTTGCCTTTTCTACCTTAAAAAAGGGTTTATAGCATTTACAATTTTTTTTTTAGATTAAAAAATATACACATGCCCATGCGGCTTATAGAGGCGCAAGGACCTCTTGCCAAATTGGTGTTGGAAAAATTCAAAGCCGTTTTCTGAGCTAACGTAGGCTTGGAGACAATAAGGGGTGTGGATAAAATTGTAAAGGGCGAGGAAAACCTTATTCCTGATAATATGAACGTTTCAAACGTTCCATACTTAAATTGGGCTCCACTTGTATCAACTTATGTCGAGCGCACATTTGGTACATTCGAGGCTTTTCTTCGCGAAAATCGAATGAAAATGCTGCCAGAAAACTTCAAAATGTATCTTGTGGTTCAATGTTACTACAATTATACAGATTAAAGTTTTATGAGTTAGAGACTCGAAAGGATAAAATAGTCAAAGATTCAAAGTACAAATTTTTCATATAATGAAACTAG